GAAACACAATAAATAAAACAAAAATTTATTTATATGGTTAGCATGGAAGAAAATGCCTTGACTTTGCTTTGATTAGTCACAAATATAGCAAAATAATTTCCATCAGTTCTGGCTCCATGTCAGCTTCTGGCGATAAGGCCCTAATTGCCAGAGTTGCAGTGGTGCTTCACATCCCAGTTGTTGGTGAGGAAGGTGGGGGCACCATTGGAACTCCTTTCCCTGGGTGCCAATATGCCTAGAAACGACCCTGCCAGGGAGTGACATAGAATTGGGGGGGGGCACAGTACGGCATGCACGTGCTCCTATTTTACTACAAAATAGAAGCATTAACCCTTTCAGACCTGGCATCAATTCCAATGGACATTGCATTTACATTGTGTCTATGGTAATTTCTCAGGATTCTCGTGACTTTGCGCTCCATATTATGCTACAATAGGAGCAATAATGCATGGCTCAGTTCCAGCAGAGGCCTTTCACCCATTAGTTTTGTAATCTTCAGTTACTTATTTAAATGTCTAATATATAATATATTGTATGATATGGTAAATTTATACAAAATATGAAAACTACACATAAAGCAAGAAAATTTCAATTACAATCACGAAAGAGCTCAAAAATGCAAGAAAGGATATTGTTCCGATAGCAGCCTTAATTCAGGTCTGAAAGGGTTAATATAAAGGAATAGACATATGAAATGCATGATAACAACGACCCAGAATTCCTGTGGCCAATCCCCCCCACCTCACTTTTTTCATCTGCAATACATGTTTGCTACTTAGAGAGCGTAGGGTTCAATTAGAAATCCCAACTGGAATTTTCCAGCTGGACAAGGGCTATATATTCTGACCAATTCCAGCTGGCAAAGAGTTGGAAAATGGTAGATACAGGTTGTTTTACAGTTGGAATTTTCCAATTGGAATGCAGCTGATTTCAATGGCTGTTTTCAGCTGGAAATTTACCATTAAAATTTTAAAAAGACACTCCAGATGGAATACAGTTGAAATTGAGCTATTTCTGTCTCTAGCAAGAATATCCAGCAAAAAATTATCATTCCACCAGTGGTATTGCAATTAGGAACCAATCTGGATCTGACTTTACTTTCCAGCTGCTAACCTGTAGGAATGGGTCCAAATTTACAGCTGGGGGGTTCAAAATCAAACTTTTGACAAATTACTTTAAAGGTTATACATAGCTAATATTTCATGTAAAATATAATGGGTGTATTAAAAAATTAGGTGCAGAGGTATCTGAAAGTCAATTTGTAATAACCTCATGCAGTGGCACATTTTACAGGTAGGGTGGTGCAGCTGCCCCCATCCCCTTCGCATCCCTGGGACAGGGCTTGGCTCTGCTGCCCTGTCCCCCTGACTCTTCAGCCAAAATATGGCTCTAAGTAAAACATATGACTTGTCCACATATCAGACATGATGCCATTAGCCTATCACACTTAATATTGCAATGCAGGTAAAATATATTATACGCTATACAATTGTTAATACATGAATACATATACAGTGGTACATGGCAAATATATGACCATACATGGCTGTATAGAATCATGCACCCTGCAATATATGGAGTTTTCACGTGGGTATCCTTTACGTGTGACATACACAACATGGCCATCATTTCACGAGTGTGCACACATATGCAAAGTGGCTGCTTTTTTTCTTACATCCAGGCATGGCAACTTCTGAGAAGGAATCCTTCATACTCACCATACATATTGCCTCTTATGCTGGCTGAGCACGAAGCATGCTGGTTGAAAAGTGAACCTTATTTTTTTATTAGCCTTGGAAGTAAATGGAATGAGGTGGGATGGTCCTACCTTCAGGTCAGTAATAACATAATAACACTATTTATGCCATGCACTGTGAGTTTGGTGGCCTCCAAGCCCCCAAGGGTAGGTTAAGAGAGTCGTGAAATGTAGATGGCAACATTGGATACATGACAACTGCTGTGTTATTGATGCTAAGGCATAAAAATTAGATAATTCCTTACTTGTAGGTTTATGGATCTTTTATCAATTCTTGATGTCCACTTGAGTCTTTGTGATTGGGAATACCATTTTAAAATACATGAATAAGAAGTACATATAGGTAAGGTGTGTATTTTTAAGTGGTATTCACAATCTATGAATCTATGGTTCTGCTCATGAACTCAGAACTAAGCTGAGAGATACAGGGCAATCATAAAATCAGGAAACCCAAACATTTATAAGCCATAGCTATGCCCATAGGGCAACCCTTTTCCCTCCCCTCCCCCTGTGGCCAGGGGGACACTTACAGCATTTGTTTGATTTCTAATGGACACCCATAGGTTGAAGTTGACTTATGCAAAGTTGGAAGAGTTTATTTTTTTTAGTATGGGAATCACTTATGAATGTTTGGGTCTCTTGATTTCATGAACATCTATGGTAACTCAAGGGAAGCACTTGTGTTTCTCTTATTCATGGGTGCCATTTGGCCTAAGTAGACCTGACAGAGTACCTAGCCCAGGTTAGGAAAACACTTGCATACCTGTGAATGAGGTTCACGGGAAGGGAGATGTGCGGGTGGGTGGGGCTGGCCCAGCATGCTTAGTCTGCTTGCATATCCTTCCGGGAAATTCCAATTTGTCACCTCAGGTTCACAGGAAAAAAATATATATTTCCATCACTGACCTAGCCTGTGCTTGTATGAATACTCTTCATAGAAGTGCATTCACTTCAATGTGGATCTAATTCTTCTTCCAGTTTTTAATTCTTCAAATAAGTCCAGGGCTTTAGCCCAAAGCAAATCAGAGACAGTTATTTCCAGGACCTCTCAAGCAATGCCCAGCAAGAAGAAGAAGTTCAATGCCAGATTCCCCCCTGTAAGTCTTGACATATTATCCTTGCTTGTAGAAATTTAAGATGCAAATAAATAAATGCACAAATATACAGATGATTGTGACTAATGTTATTTCTAACCATGTTCTAGATAAGGTAGAAACCTGAAACTAGGTACTCGAGTAGCTTTTGAGTTGCTGAGTTCAGGAAAATTCCTACTTTTAAGATACATCCATGCAGGGCACAATTTTGGGTTGGACTTTTTTTCCCCCAAAGACATTTTCACTCCAAAAAAAAAGGGCAAATATTGAAAGCTGAAATTTGGTAAACCTGTAGTTCATTTGATATTAATTTCAGAAAAATTTTTATTGTTGAGTTACATTTTCCTAGAGGACTTTTTTTTTTTGAGGAAGGTATTTCCTCAAGTTATTATTATTTTTTTTTCCCACAAAATGGAGAGACAAAAAGCAGAAATTTGATACATTTGTTGGGATGCAAATTTCAAGAGGAATCATACTTTTTGATGCTTTCCCTGGGGGAAAACTTTTTTGGGGAAACATGCAGCAATAAATTTTCTTGCTCCAGGGAAATGTGCAGATATAGGAAGCTGAAATTCTATAAACACATAGTACTATGAAGGTTGATTTAACCCTCATCTGGGCAAGCTTTTTTACAACCTATTCCAGGCAAGGTGAGTCTGTCAGACTCATGTAAAATAAGGCCAATTGCTGCGGTTACGGTATGTATTCTTATAAATAACAGTACTGTAACTAAAATAATACAGACAATTTATTCAATGGTCCTGTTAGTTTAAAAAAATAATGACAGTAATAGACCTAAATATGTCGTAGTGAGTCCAGCGGACTCACCTTGCCCGGATTAGGGTTAATGAAAAATACTATGTTTGAGTTCCATCCCCTTGCTGCACCAATCTTTATGTGGGAATGTTTCCACTATAAATCTGTTTGACCAATTTGTTTTCTCTGTAGTGAAACTGGTAAATATATATATGTTAATTTGTTAAATATAGTTTTCAGCATGTAGAATGTTATATCTACCCTTCAGCAGAAGCCAACTATGGCTTGTATGGATGCATTTTTTAAATTAGGCCCTGGGATTTTGTAAAATAAGAATTGATTTTAGTTGAAAATGTAAATATGTTAATACATTTTAATTTTTAGGTTAGGTTAGGTTGGGTTTTGAATGACATTTTTACATTTAAAACTGACTATGATGTTTGACAAGACAGTTTGCATTGATTGAGGACTAGTTTAAATGAAGGATACCATAAGACCTTACTGATAAGCAGATGAAGAGCTGGAAGTATGTTGCTGAAAACAAAGGCTGATCACAATTGATTGGCCTATAGTTACATCTATATTTGAAACTTAATGATTGAAGGTATGTTCCTGTTCTTTTTCTTCATAGGCTCGAATCAAGAAAATCATGCAGGCAGATGAAGAAGTGGGAAAAGTTGCTGCTGCAGTTCCTGTTGTCATATATATCCTCTTCTGAGCTCCATGAATTTTGCATGATTACTTGGGAATTGAAATATTTTTTAAATGTTTGAAATTTTGCAATTATGGTGCATTTTCTCCAGAGGGCAAGCAAGGAACTAGTTAAATAAATATACAGTAAAAAGGTGCTTGTTGCTTCCAGTCTTAGATGCTTTTCTGATGAACAGCTGCCCTTTCTTTGAAAAAGAGACGAGGAAATGAGGCCCTTCAGGCTATCTGTCAGCATATATGTTATTCAACATTTATGGCAATACTACTGCTTCAAACTTCAAATTTCACAACTAGTAAAATGATATAATCTTGACATAATTTGGTTTCAGAAACATTTTATCTGATAATGTATATACATTTAAAAATCAGAAGCTTAAGTAGTACAGGCATAGAGTAAACTGGATGATCATCCTTTCTCTGTCCCCACTATAAATGATATCTTGATGCATATCCTGATTATACATTCTGTTCTCCACTTCCTATATTTTTCTCCATAACCTGCATGTTTATATCAGTGGTATTTATAGGGTGACTGACAGGTCACTCTTTTTTTAAACTTTTTTGTCTTGTTTTAGGGGAGGTTTATATATTTGAAGTTGATAAATTAATTGGTAATACATAGCTTGAGAATTATCTCTATGCACAAACTGACCTGTCAAAAGTGGATTTTATTTTGAGTGTGGATGAACCTTGTGATGGTTCTTTTCAGTGATGGAAAGCTACCCAAGTGCATCGTGAACTCTGTCTCAACAAACTATATTCTGTGCATTGGTAGTCAAAAGAAGGCCATGTCAGTAACAAAATCTGATGGTGAAGACTATGCATTATTACTTCACTACTGTTCCATTTAGGGGTGGACATTCTCTAGGCATCACATGAAAGCAATTCAAGTTGCTATGCCATTTAAGAGATTCTGGAGATGGTTTCATGATTCAAAGTGAGCCAAAGAATAATTGTAAGCAGATAAGCCAAATCGCTTGCTAACTTCAAGTAAGAGATTTAGGGTCGATTTTTGAACAGAGAACTATCCGATAATGCTGCTTTATTTACCGGATTTATAATGCATTTTCTCTGAAATAAAGCAGCATTATCGGATAATGCTCTGTTCAAAAATCCACCCTTAGCATTATGCTGTTCACATCTAACTTGACATGAGGCTGAGAAATTTAAGTTGGTTGCAGTGTTTTCTCTTCCATATTGTAAGATGTGGGCTCAAATGCTGAAGTCTCATTGAGGCAAGATAAAAGGATCTTGAAGCTGAAGAACTAATTTTCTCCATAGAAGTCAATGGATTCACTAAGGATGCTTTATTTAGAAAGGACTTCAGCTTTTGGGCCTAAGTCACTGAAAGTGATTCTTATCACTGCATATAGAACATGTACTAACAATGCTTGGGGTTCAGCTCTGCTATGTTATTGGAAAACTTTTTAGATCACATGAGCTGTTATTACTTAGACATCCTTGTGAACTTCGACAAATATTCCTCATCTCAAATTTCTTCTTCAAGGGCTTAACCTTTAAGCTGCCATGAGTGCATAATTGTAATTTTAACCTTAATATTCAACTGGTTGCTGTCACGTGTTTATACTCCATGTTTTAGCTAAATCTTTGCCATGGTTGCATTTATGAACATAGCATGCTTTGATAACAGGATAGAATAAAACTTTTTTTTTTGCCTGAACAAAAAAAGTGTAAAATTGAAAATCATCTCAGCAGTAGAGAAAGCGAGCCTTAGAAAATTCTAGAGTGAAATTTTTTTTTTCTTTATGCATTAGCTGTATGTTTATTGGTCTCAACTTTCTTTTCATTAACAAAGGAAAAGCAAAAGAAAAGTAATTAAATATATTTTCACACCTGTCCCTTTTGTGGTTGACACAGTACATGATTGCTGTCTCCTTTCTTCTCTCTGAGCTTTTTGATGATCAGTACATCTGATGCATGACATTGTTCACAGTCAAGCCTACACTACATATGAATCTGGCTTTTATACTTCAAAGCATTGAGAGACATCCAAGTCATGCACACAGACTGTATTTTTGACATCAGATATCTGGAGCTGAAATGGTTTCGAAATGGAAACAAATGGACTGTCTTTTCTATTCATTTTTTATAGTGAGCAGATGATGCAATAGACATCCTGTTTGAGTTTTTTTTATGCAAAGGTCCAGATGGTCATTGCAACCAGGAAAACTTTTGCCCACTCTACCAGAGATTAGTTGAAGTCTGGGGGCCAGTCTCAGTCTTGCCAAAAGCTTCCATGCTTTTTTAAAAAAAATAATTTTTTGTAGCATTTTTAGACAACAATAAAGGCAAAATAAAAAGTATATTAATTTCAGCTTGATATGCATATATTTTTCATCAAATATACAGAAACAAGGAAGCTCTTTCAGAAAGATTTCTTCAGCCTTCACATAGGTTTACCATGATCTGCAGAATTATAAACCCAGTGAGAATGATTTTTTTTGTATTTATGGAGTTTGAGTTTCCTTGACTGTTGAATCCACCTCGTGCATTAGAACTATTTGTTGATGACCTGCTGGCCAGGGCTGCCGAAGTGACCTCATCCAGGAACGCCAAGACACTAACACCTAGTCATATGTAAGTTTGAATGTGATGAGAGGAATATGATGTGTGCTGACCTTTACCAGAGCCTTATGTATGACATATTTTTTATGCAGAAAAAATGTGATAATGTCAGTTGAAAGAATGGGTTTTCTACACGACATGGTGGCTGGAATTCCTGACCTGGGTGTGACAGCCTCATCAGAGGAAATGGCTACTGCCTCTGGACCATCTTCATCTTCATTGGTCTCCCTCACTAACAGTATCTCTGAAGATGTTGCTTCTGATACTAGTGCTGATCGTAAGAAGATGTACCGCAAAAGACCAGGGTCACACAGGTAATACTTTCATTTTCTATTTTTGTCTTTGTGTGTGTGCGTGTGTGTGGCAGGCTTCAACTCCATTGAAATAAGGTTGGAGGCTTATGTCATGGTGCTTGTTCTCAGAAGTGCATAGATGAAACGGTAGCATGTTTTGATTGTAACATCAGTTTGAAAACTGGTGTTACAATCAAAACATGCTACCAGTATTTTTTGAGCTTATTTCCTGATCCTAGGATCAGGAGATTTTGGAATGAAAAAGAGGATGAGGATGATGATGATGCCTTTGAGAGCCCTGAGAAAGATGTCAGCGGGGAACCTCAAGCCCTGACACGTAGCTTGAGCATGTAAGTCAATAGTTCCCTTCCACTCCCCTCTCCCATAGCAAGCAGTCAGTGCTGCAACTCCACTCTGCATTCCTCTCTGTAGCCCTCCATCCAGTGACCAGGATCTGGGAGGGGCCTCCTATGTACCGGAAATGCCAAAACCTCTCAACATGTATCCATTTGCAACAGGGTCAGAGAAGCTGTCACGGCAGAGTGTGATAGTCAGTGCTCCTTCAAGTGCTCCTCCATGTGTACCACCTGGTGCTGCACCCTTTCAGTTCTCCATCACCATCAATAATGGACCTAAGTTGACCATGAAAGGAACCAGCCATTCTACAAGTGCAGATAATTCCTCTTCTGGGACGTCTTGAAATTTTTAACGCTCAAAATGTACATACCAGACCCAGTTCATGACTGATCTCTTCATCATGGACTTGTGGTTCAATATGTTGCTTTTATAGGGGATTTGAGAAGTGATTCTTTTTAAGGGCTATTAACAAGTATGGGTATGACTTCCATTCTTTTCTTTAAGCAGTGTCAACGTACTGTACCAAAGTTTGGGATGTTTTCAGAGTGCCTTCATTGATTGCTAGAAAGTTCTGGTATCATGCAAGTGTGATATTTTAAACCTGAGCTGAGCAATTAAACAGTGTCAGAAGTACTTGCAGGCAAAAGGAGCAGGAGACAATGCTCAATTCAACAACCATCCACTTAATCCCCATGAAACTCCATGTACCCACATTTAATATCCAGAAGACTCTGAACTCAGCCTGTGCTTTCCAGAATGAATGAGATAAATAAAATTCTTGTATGGAATAAGCAAAATCATTATTCCATCCAACCTGCAAAGACATTACTTTTTCTTCCTCCTCTTGGAAGTGCCAGGGCCTATCGTGTAAGACTTATGACATGATGCTTTCCTCTTGAAACGGCGAGACTCCCAATCATCTTCTGTCAAATCTAAAGCAAAAGCCAGTGTTCAGTCCTTGGAATCTGATGCACAAAAAAAAAAGCTACAGAAAGAACACATACTTGATCCCCGATTGGAGCTTTCCAGTATGGAAGACAGCTGTTCAGCAGAAACAAAGAGATCATCTTGGATGTCTTCTTTGGACTGCCTGATATGGCGTCTCCCCTATCAAGACATTTGAAGGCCAAATTTGAGATATTTAATCGTTTAGCTGTGGTGAATTTGTGGTCTTTGTCTTTTACCTTAGAACTTGTAGGCTTCTTTATATCAGAATCTGATTCATCAGAGAATTCAATCTCCTCCTCGTTCCAACCTTCTTCATCTTCCCATGCAATGCCACCTTCATTTTCTTCCTCATCTTCCCATGCAACATCATCACCTTCATTGTCTTCCTCATCCTGGTCATCAGTGTCACTGTTGTCATCATCCTCCATGCTTTCAACTGTGAGCCAAAAAAAGTCAGCATTATATGAAAACAACTTTTACCAATATATCAGATGAGGAGTAAATAAAAGACAAGACCTTTGTGCTTTTGTCCCTTCTCTGGCCTGTCCAAGAAGAGATTTGCAAAGTCCAACCCTTCACTGTCTTCCATATCTACATGCTCTCTTCCCCTGTGCTGTAGGAATTCCTGAAACTCATCACTTGACACACTTTCCACCTCTTCATCTTCCTCCTCCTTCTCTCCCTTATTTCTCTTTTCTTGCTCCTCAGACTGGTTCTTGAAGAAGCTACAGAAGACAGATTGGAGTTTTATCACCACCATCTTCACCAATTTAGGCAATATTAAATTGGAACAAAAATGTGCTACCCTGTACTATATCTCAAGTTTTATATGTTCTTGAAATTGTACCCATAACAAATTTTGACCAGGATAGATAGAATGTTAGCAGCCAAAATACAAAAGTTTTAAATGGTTTAAGGTTGAAACCAGATGGTCAAAATTCGTATCAATTCTGGTGGATGCCACATCTTCCACCTCTCCCCAATTATTTCCTACAAGCAGGTGTAACAGTCTTAAGTATGAATACATTAGCTTGAAGCCCAAGTTTGAGTCCTAATACACAGCATCCTGCCACTTTCAATAACAAGTCTTTTTCTTTTTAAGTCTTTTTTTGTTTCTAGTGCTACCAAGGAGGAAGCCTCTGAGGTGTGCCTGCATGGAGACCCAGGTTCAATTCATGACAGAGGTTGTATGTCAGTTTTCCATGTCTGATTGATGTCTTGATAGCCTTCACTTCAACTCCATTGCAACTAAACATACATAAAATATAGTACCTATAGAGGAACTTCTCTTCCACAGGAACTTGATGTTCCTCCATGCTGAGGAGCATTTCCATATTGACAGCTGCAGGGAATTGCTGCTGGAGTCGTCGCTTGCCCATGATCATATCCTGGGGCAACTGGTGCTCCCTGTTGAGGTTCTTAGGATTCTTGAACACGAATCGGTCCAGGAAATGTGAAAGAGAAAAGTCCTGCATAGGATCACTTGAATAGTTAATACTTTCCCCATCGCAGATCTTCTGAGCAAACACAGCTATTGTGGGATGGCAGTGAGCAGTCAATGACTTCAGCTCCCAAAATGAGACACTTTCTGCACCAGCATAAAGAGGATTTCGACAGGTTGGGTCGTATCTGTTCTGAGTCCTTTTGCCTCTACCTATGAGCAGATTCTGTTTGTGGACCCATGAAGAGTGGGGTTTGGTTTCTGGAGATTTTTCTTCTTCATCTGAGTCCTATAAGAGAATGAGAGCAGTCACAGATAGTCATGTTGCAAAGCAAGGTGATATACAGGGTGACCCATTTGTAGAGTTGATGGATGAATGATAGTCACCTGCAAAACTAATCAACAGCATCAATTAAAATTATGAGGCTGTTTTACTGGGCACATGCACTACTTGTTTATGGTGATGAAAGCAGCAAGGAGTGAGCACACCACTTTATATGCATATCACTTTGAATTTAAAAAATGATAAAATACAGTGGCAGTGCCCCATAAGGCACACAGTGCAACAGGAGTGACCACCATGCTAACACTCCAGACTAGTTCATTGAGCAATATGAGAATGGTCAGAATGCCAAGGTCAGTTTGTACACATATAATTCAGCAATCACAGTTCAGTGTGACCTGTACTCCAGAGAAGTGACACCCAGTGCAAAAATCAAGGTGCACCTGCTTCATGAACAATATCTCAGAGTGTGAACAGTGCACAGTAAATGGAAATGGGGACAGGCAATACCATGTAGTGTTAGCTGAATCCCATCTTGGTGCAATGCCTTCACTCTCCACTCTTTCACCACCAGGTATGAGTAGCACATGTACCCAGTGCTCCATCCCTCAAGTATCTGCTCAATCCATCTGATACTTTTTACAGGAGACTGCCAGTCATAGATCAACTTCACAAATGGGTCACCCAGCATTAAAAAAGCATCTGCCCAAAAAAGCACATATTGCATACTTGACTCATATTCCCAAAGTTCCCAACTTTCCATGCCTGTAGAAAAAATACCACAGAGGACATTGATAGGAAATTTAAAGGGTTTCATATCCAATATGTATGAGGTGCGGTCAAAATAAAGTGGCAACAATGGTGTCATGGCTGCCACTGTGCACTTATCTTACTGCTGATGCAAATGCTTGTAGTTACATCCAAGACCTACTGACAGATGGCTTCTCACTTTCTTGGGTGGTTCTGGTGGTCAAGGATGATACAACAAAAAAGTATGTGCACCAGTGGTGTAGAAAAACCAGTGCAGGTCAATGAAGCTGAGCAGAGATCAATTATCAAATTCCTCATCCCCAAAGGGAAAAATGGCAGAGATCCATGAAGAGTTGGTTGACTATTGTGGTGACAGTGCACTGTCATACAGGAGTGCTGCCCGCTGAATCAGTGAATTCAAGACCAGCATGAGAAAGAATTCAGTGGTGGGCACCCACCCGTCAACAGTGGTGACATGCAAACACCCAGGCTGTGGAGAACTTGATAATGAGTGATCAACGTACTACTGTGGAAGAGACAGTGGAGGAGCTAGGCATATCCCATGGTTCAGTGCTAATGATTATTCATAACAAGCTTGGCATGATGAAGGTAGCTTCCTGATGGGTTCCCACATCCTGGATGACAAGAAGGCAGCCCATTGGAGGGTTTGCAAGAACTGGAAGCTGGAGATGGAGACCAAGGGAGACAGCTTCCTGAATAGGATTGTCACCACGGAAGAGTCATGGTTCCATTTGTAAGAGCCCGAGACCAAGCATCAACCTCTTCAGTGGAAGCACAAGACTTCTCCATCCCCCGTGCAAGTTTTGAAGGGAGAAGTTGGCTTCTAAAGTGATGTATACAATTTTCTTCAATAACAAGGGTGTGATTCTAGCTCATCCCATGCCACAAGGTATGACAATGATCAGCGCCTCCTACACTTCCCTGCTGTTCTTGGTTTGCCAAGCAATTGCTGAGAAACAAGGGGACAAGTTCCGGGATGGTGTCATCTTCCATCACGACAATGCTCCAGCTCATTGAGCACTGATAGTTTCTGAGGCATTATGTGAGAAGAAATTCACCCTCATGGCTCATCCGCCATACAGCCCTGATTTTGCACTGTTCCCCACACTGAAGGATCACTTACACAGACGAAAACTGGAAGATTGATGATTTGAGTCAATCTTCCAGTGGTACTCAGCGCAGGACAAAGAATGGTTCACTGAGGTCTTCAGGAAGTGAGTGAAGTGGTGGAGCTTCTGCATTGAACTCAATGAAAACTTCATTGAAAAGAAACAACCATAGTTCCGTTCTGCTATGCATGGTTTGGCTTCACCAGAAAAAGTGCCATTTGCTTTTGACTGCACCTCATAAAAATACCAGATGGCACATAAAAAGCACAGAGATTTTTGCACATATTTCCCAACTTCCAGATGAGGCAGGTGTACAAATAATACCACAAATACATCTATTTTTCCTCTCAGCCCCATGTGCATTTCTAACTACAAGGGTACACCCATGGCAGTTGTTCAACTAAAACACCATGAAAATTTTCATGTCACACCTCATCTTATGCCAAGAAAAATAATGCAATGGGTCCTCTTTGGCTTTGCATAAGGCACATAACATCACTTTCCATTAAGTAATGCTGGCTCTCGGTTTGGCAACAGAATGATCTGTCTTGAATCACTCAACTCACCAGTTAGGCTTTTAGCACCAAGAAAGATGTCATCATACCATGCTTGAGAAGTAGCCTCTCCTTCTGAACTCTGGAACTCTGTGTGACATGAAAAGTTTCTAGGGATCTTTGTTGAACAACAGCAGTGGGTGTACCCATATACCTGACCTATCAACAGTGCATTAATGCATCAGCAAAATAAGTAACCATGGTTATATGGTGAGTAATTGGGAGAAGGATGAATGAAAAGGCACCTCAAAAGTTGAAGTCAGGTATAGCATAGAGCCCTAACAATCTGTGGTCTATTTTATACTGTGCCATGATCTCATGCAGAGAGGGACCAGAGGACAGAAGCCAAGCAGGCCTGAAAGGTAAGTAAAATAAAAAATTTCAAAAACTAGCCACTCTAGTGGCTTCCATTATCTCCAAGGCTGTGTCCTTCCCTTATTTTATTTCTCTTTCATTCTTACTTTCTAGGTTCTGTAGGGTGCCATCATCACTCGTGGATAGGCAAATTTTTCTTCTGGCACTTCACTTACATTAATTCGTTGTGATGCTTGGAAGCAAACCCAATGATATATCTTGACAGCAGCAAAATTTTACTCTAAAAGGTGCATCTTGTTTTCAGGTAAATACTGCGCATAGGTTCTCGAAGTATGGTGCTCCTGGCACATTTTAGAGTGAGAAAAAACCCAGAAGACACACATAGACAGGTCAAATGCTATGGTGGCTGATAGAGGACCTCTGTGCACCCAATCTGAGGTGGAAAAAAGCCTTCATTCAGGCTCCCATTGGTTCATAATTGAAAGCCTTTACACAGAGAGAATGCTAAGATGTAAAAGATATGACTAACTTTGACCTACCTGAACATCCTTATAATCCTCCTCACCACTCCCATCTTCTTCAGAAACTGACTGTCCATCTTCCAGAAAGCTCTTGGACTTGATGGCTACAATAGTTGGGTTCTGTTTCAAAACAGTTGAAATGAGGATAAGGAAGCCACAGACAAGAGGGACAGGAAAATGTAAGCATAGTTGAAGGAGACGTTTTAGGAATGCCCTGAGTCGAGGCAAAACCGAGTCTTGAGTCAGAGCCTTGAATAAAAGGTTCAAGAATTGATTCTGCTTTGAACTTGACAGTAAAGCAGGGTCCAACAGCTTTCGATACAGGATCATATAAAACCTGAAAAAAAAAAGGTACAAATACTTCCTTTAATGCCTTGGCTTAAGAAAGATTAGAGAATGAGTGAGCAAAGGCAACTCTGCTCATTCTTTCATACAGCAGTGCTACCTGTCAGACAGAGAGCCCTTTCTCTGGAGAACATGGAATATCAGCATGAGAGCCTGGGTAGCCACACTGAAAGGGGAAACATGTACAATCTTATACATAGTTTCCAGTTCCTCATTGATAAGTGATTTCTTCTTTTCTCCATCTAGTGGTAAATAGGGGAAAGCTCGATGGACTCCAGTCAAGAGGCCACTCATTAACTTGCTCTCCACCTCTCCCTATCATGTGAAGAATAATACTATACTGGTCGAGACCATATAAGCACTGCATTTGAGCTCTCCAAGATGTCATATTTCCTACCGTTTTCACTGATGCTTTGAAGAGAGCAAAGTAGATGGACACAAGCTTGGCAGCTAGATTTAGATCATCCCGACACAACAGGATCTGATTCAGGAAGCAAACAGCATAGTACTGTGCTTTCTGACTGACATTGGGTCTGTTATGAGAGGGATAAATATGACTAAAATAACCACTTCTCTCCATTAAGAAAAGCAGGGATATTGATAATGATAAAAGTGAAGAGCATGGACCCATTCAACTACATGTGGACTCAAGGAACTTGCAACATATTAGCAGATATGAAGAAGCCTGTACACTATTTTCAACTTTAATGTTTCAGTGCCATTGGGCCAATGGCACTGAAACAGTTAAATATATGAGAAATAAGACTTTATCCATTATTTGATTGAAATTCCAGGGAAACATGGGTCCACACATGCTTGCAGAATAATCCTATCTCTATAAAGACCTGAAGATCATTCGTTCCACTTCCAAAGTGATGACATGCTTCATCTGAGGGTGGTGGGAGAGGAGTTGAAGCAGTCGATGCATTGTTCGTGCTGCCACCTTCCTTACTGGATCACCTATCTTGTTCACCAGGGAGCTTAGCAAAGTCTGAAAGCAAAAATAATGCATATCCTACTATCAGATCTTCACCTTTCCACTCTTGAAATGCTATAGCTTTTTTAAAAACTATTATGCCAAAGAATATCAGCTCAGAGAACCCATACTCTATTAAAGTACTATAGAAGCCTATTATCAAAGAAAAGGCAACTATGAGTAGCAAAGCAGTGCAAAGTAATTGCATAACCATGGGTTAACTGCAAAAATAACAAGTTTCAACTCACTTGTTCTTGCTCAGAATTATTGAGAAGAAGCTCATAGAGTATGTGGATAGCTTTCAATCGAGTGGCCTCAACAGTGTCCCGAGCTAGCTCATTCACAGCCTGAATGAATGATGAATATGCCTCCTTCAACTGGTCTTCAAAGAAGCACAAGATCAAAAACCTTTCTCGTCTTTCCTCAGCCATAGTTCCTGCTTCACACAGTGGCTGCATTTCAAATGCTCTGAGCTTCCTAGTTTCCAGCAAGAGATCTGACAGGAAGAGCTCCTTCAGAGTATCTGCAAAAACACATTTTCACACACTTCTTTGTGAATATCCCGATGTTCCTTAAGATTACTCATCATCCTTACCTAAAGCCATGAGCCCTTCTCGCCTTGCTTTATTTGACACAAGGTTCAGGAGTTGCTTCAGATGCCTCATAGTGTGCACAGGGGAATCCTGAATTAACATTGTATAAGCAGCCATGCGGTCAGCCATTGTCCCTTTCTTCACCACAGTCTCCATCCATGCAAAATCTCTCCTTTCTTTCCTAGCTTCACAATCTTAGAGAGGGAATACAATTTGAATACAATTCATGATCTCGCAAATGCATTGGGTAGGGGGGGAGGTAAACTTTATATGTCCACATGATGCACACCTGGGACAGGCATTATCCACCTCCATTTCATCTCCCATCAATTGAAAAGAGGGAGATAAACAAAGAGCTTTATTCTTGTGGAAAACAAAGAATCCTTTTTAAAGTAGAAATATTTCTCTCGTACAACAGGTACTGCATCAAACGTCAAGGCTGTTATAATTTGTGTATAAATGAGTGACCAAAAGTGGGTTTGCTTAGACAAACCAGTGTTTCACTTACAAGAATCCCAAAGACCATCACCTTCAATAAAAGGGATGAAACCATACATGCATGTAACCAATTAAACTTTTCTCACTTTTTACAGGTAGACCACTTCTCCTTTTAGCTCTTAAATTCTTAATGTAGATGCAAAGCATTATCATGCCTTATAATACCTTGTACAGGTAGCTCTAAATGCTCCAATAGTAGGTTGTAGTCAATTCTAACAACTACAAGATAGCCTAATTTTCCTTGATCATTCTCTTTATAAATAAACTGGTACATGCCCTATTGATGGCAAAGTCTTTGGCTCTAGTTTGAATATACTTAGATGTGATGCAATGATACAATGGCTATGGTGTTTTTGTTCTTAGAGGGGCAGGCAAATATTCTGGACAGCCCATATTATCTGAATTGATGGAAACAACCACCTACATTGTTGATATGCCCTGCAGTCTCTCTCATATAGATTTTTGGCCTCCATCCTCAACTTGGAAATTTCTGACACATCAGAGGCTTCCCATGTCTTTGGCATTTGCTCCAGCACCTATCAATATATATGCAACACCTTTTCATCATCTTCAAAAATATCTAGCCATTACTCTCTTCTTGACCTATTATGAGCAAAAAGGAACTTTATGCAGACATTTTCATAAATCAAATCCATCAAATTCTGGTTCATGACAAGCACATTCATCTAAACCAGAAGACTTCCAGAAACAAACTTGTACATGCCTGATCTTCACCCCAGCGTTTCCCGGGTTTAATGAGTAGCTTCATGTATGTAGAGGATTTCCCATCTCTTAGAGTTTGACCTGCATGAGATGTTGAAGCCCTCAGTTTCTGTGCATTGACTGGTCTTTTGCCTTTCATTTTCTTTGCTTCATTCTCTTTGGATTGAGCCTTGTCCTTCAAGTCAATTGTTCTCCTTGCAGTTCCTGGTGCTGCAGACCACTTGGACAGCCCAAGAGTCTCTATGTATCCCTTGAGCTGCATAATATAAGCATTAAGAAAAAATAAACAATTTTACAGTTCCAATCAAGTTGACTTTTAATTCATTTACCAAATAGGAGAGAGACTCACCTCTGTTTCTAAGCCTGGTGATCTTCCTTCCTGCATGTTTGCTTTATAACTACTAATGAAAAAAAAGATAATCACAGGTACATCAGATGCAAAGAAAAGCATGAGCTACAGCTATGAACTAGCAAAAATTATTTGTACTTGGGCTACATGGTTCAATATCATAGAATATAGGCAATATTGCAGAAAGTCAATACTGAAATCAAAAGTGACGTGTGATATTGATAAACCAAAAAGATCATACAGCAGAGTGGAATCAGGAAATCAAGTTGGAGATCAAGCTACTGGTGAACCTGTCACTCCTCACAAGTCATGCTCATGAATGCATGCATGCATTCATGAATTTTTTGCATGCAGACAAAAAATTAATTCCTTCATTCCTTCCATTAAGAAGCTCTATATCTTCAACCCATATTTTCTAAGAGAAAGAAGAAAGAGAGGACCCCACCTATCTATTCTTTACTCTTAGTGATTTACTCACAAAGCTCAAAGTGAAGTGAGCAATGGAAAAATCATCATCCATCTCATGACAACAATTACAGCTTCACCTCATTTTTATGAGCTTGCTTATAACAAGGGATTAGCTTCAACAAGCAAATCATTTATGCCTGGTCCCAAATCCAAAGACAGAATGCAATAAAATCTTGCATATAAGCTCTGACATAAAAAGGAAATTCAATTTTACAAGAGCCTTGGATTGTCTTTAGCAAAGAACATGCATTTCCAGAGGAGGTCTAAGAGTTAAGACACCTCTGTAATTTCAAAGACTCAAGTTTGTCCTACATTTCACCTGAATGTCCCTGAGATAACAAAAGTGAAGGGGGAGGAGGGCATGGAGAAAGAACGTTTAGGCATCAGCCTGGCTGGTTTTTTTCTTTCTCTACCAGGAAGAGATTTATTGTTAAACAACTTTGGATCCCTGAAACACTCAGTCATTTGGCCCCAGCATATTCTCATAACTAGGACTTTAATAATGGGAAACTTTGAAAACATTCATTCATTGACTTAAGCCATTAATGGGGCATCAATGCATTGGAAAATAAACAAATATCAATAAATAATGACAATCAATGAGATAAATAATGAACATGAATTTCCCAGGGCAAGAATTTCACACTTGGTGTAGTATCCTGCATCATTTGCAGTTTATTCTGGACCACAATCTCATGCAGTGAGGGACTAACAGCTCCCCTACTCTGTGTGGTCTCATTAGAGACTTGGTGGAATCTCATCCACAGGCTGGGAATGAACTAAGGAACAAGATGATGTCCTTAAGTACATCACAAATGTGAAGGAATGGATGTTAACCCCTTCCCACATCTTTCATGCAGTCACATTCCCACCCCCTCACTCACAAATATAATTTAAGTACCCATGAATTTTTATTCAGATACTTTCCTTCTTAGGCTACCAATGCATTGCAAGGATTGATGAAATCATTCATTCTGCCAACTTTCTATGCAAACATCCATGGATTGTGGTCATAATTTAGTTTTACTATTAAGGAAGATGAAATGAGAAAGAAAATATATTTCTTTCACCCTTCATGCTCCTCCCAATTCCCTCTTTTCCAGTATCAAGCATATGTGATTTTTCCAAATCAGTATTGAAATCCTGTTTATGTTCATCATCACTAAGTCATGATTTGTTTCATGCAGTAAAATAATTATTACATTTTGCTGAGGGCATGAGGAAAGGAATAATCCCAGGCAAATCCTGAGGGAAGATGCCCAGCCCAACTTTTGGTACAGATATGGTGATGAGGTGATATGAATAAAAAAGTGAATTATTTGGTGAACAAGTTGAGCAGTCAATGGAAGTGGATCATGTCTGATGAGCCTTCTCCTTATCAAGACCATGGTGATAAGATGGCAGTATCATTAGCTAAATGCCATAAGGAGCTTTGAGTTGTCATGTGTTTCCTCAATGCAGAGAGAAAGAATGATTGCAATGTGTACAATGTAAAGATCCAGCTGTATGATGGCTAAAAATGCATATGAATGAGTAGATTGCTAATAAATGAATAAAAAACAGATGCATGTGTCATCCTTGCAGAAAGCACTGAATAAATGGTCGAAGTGGGAACTGTGTAGAACAATCACACAAGTAGAGGAGCTGATTTAAAATGATAGGCATGACTTAAAGCAACATAACCACTTATGAGTATGTGTCTGCAGTTAATAAGCAGCTCTTCCACTTGTGCAATGTTCCACACAGGTGCCACTTGAGACAGTTTTTCCAATGCCATCCTCATCTACAAGCCATGAGCATTCATTTCTGAAGTAATCTACCTGTTCATCCATTGAGAAAATATATTACAGTTGATTGCTCCTCATGAGTGCAAGTCAATAATGAAGCCACCAACATTACCACTGTCGTAAGCATCAACTAGGAGTAATCAGTGAACCTCTAATGGTCATGATAACTAGAAGGCCTAATTGACACATAGTCCACCTATGTGTTTTGACTGCTTCACTAGTGCACACAAGAAAATTCACCTAATTTATTGACTTCCCCTCATATTGACTACAAATTGCAACCTACACTTAGGGCTCTGAGATGAAATGCAGAGCAAAAATAATGACTTATACTTTTGTAAAATATAAATAAAATATCTTCATTCTTGATTTTCCACAATTTGCCAAACAAAGCAAAACAAAAGGGACAATACAAACATGATCATTCGAATAGGAGTTCACACTCCTCAACAATAGCCATCCCTGTTCTTGTCAAGGTAACAATGTAAAGGCAGATCTCTTGAACCTGCTTTTATGCCACCCAAGCTGGATGAGCTGAAATTTTGCAATAGTGGTGACAAGAGAACATGGGATTTTGAAGATGGAGAACGAGAACCTAAGAGGCAGTATTTATTTCCCAAATCCCATTTTCTGTCCCATTCCTGAAGCAGCACCATGGAACTGCCGCATGATATTGGAAAGCCCTTGCACACCACCTGAAATCACATATCTCTGCATGTGTGAGGGATGCATTTTTGATCAGGCAAAGTGAAATATAAGAACTGTGCTTTGAACAAACCCATTTGTTGAAGAACTCTTGGGTCCATCATCTTTGCCATCTGCTGATTTAATTTCATCATCTGATTTGGATTCACATTCTTTGATATGTCACCACCTATATTTAAAGTTTGTTTATTTAGAAAAAGGAAAACACATGAAAAAATTTGCCTGCAGGAAAACTACTCACCTTTGAAAAGGCCCTTTATCCCACCCATCTTCTTGACAACCTGGGCAAATTTCGTATGTTGCTTGAGTAGTTCTTGGACTTCAGCTTCTTCAACACCAGCTCCATTGGCCACTCGAGTGATCCTTCCTGGTTGACGGGTGAAGAGTTTCCCTCCTTCTCGACTATCGAGTTCTGAGTTTATGAAAGATAAATAGTTGTAGTTCAGTTGTAGATGTAAAATAAATAATAAGCACATATATGGCATCCAACAAAGCACTGGTATGCTGACAAATTCCAACTTACCTTTGTCATTCATGCTATCCATGATAGTCATGAGTCTTTTCATACGAGCCATCGATTCTTGCTCACCACCCTTTCCCAAAAAGTCCTGACTGAATCCTGGAATCATACCCTAACAAAACATGAAGGATAAAAATATCACACATTTCACCTTTTCTGATGCAAATGCTGTCTGTTACATCTGCTACAATCCTATTCAAACCAAGTCCCTCACTAATGAAAATCCTCTCAGAAGATATCCAGCTCTATTGTAATTGAGCAATGAATGAACACTGCAACTGACTGATCAATATTATTTTATGCAATTTCAAGAGCAATATCATCCCATCCTATCTTCATGTGCCTCATACTTCCAGAAATTCAAGTATTTTAAACTTGACATCTTATATTATGGCTGACACAAAAGCTTATGAGGTCATCACAAATAAGATCATCCACCTAAAAGAAAGAAATATGAAAAATAATTGTAGCTCACCATAATTTGAGAGAAAGGTCCAAGTTTCATGATATTCTGGAACTGTTCATACATGTCCCTCAATGTGAATTGACCATGTTTCAGTTTTTCCATGAGTTCTTCATCTTCATCCAATTTTAATTCATTCACTTTCTCAATAATCCCTTCAATATCACCCATTCCAAGAAGCTTGCTCACAAAAGGCTTCACTTTGAATTGCTCAAAGTCATCTATGTGTTCTCCTGTTCCAATGAATATAATGGGACTCTTAGTTGCAGCCACAGCACTCAATGCACCACCACCTTTGGCATGGCCATCCAACTTTGTGATGATGACAGCACCAACATCTACTTTTTCTTTAAAGGCACGAGCCTGAGACTCGCATGCCTGTCCTATGCTTGCATCCATCACAAATATCACCTCATCTGGGGTCTGTGCAATGAAAAATTCATACAATACAGCTCACCCACCAGAGACTGAATAGATACACTATTCCAAGCAAAAATGACACTGCACTCAACAGAAAGTTATACAGGGTGTTAAGAAAGTTGTGTCCCATCACAATATGCCTATAACCTCAGCAAAAATGTGAAAATCAGGAAATTTTTTTATGCACAACAAAAAGGACAGTCAACTGATTTAGAATCACTTAATAGTTTTCAATATAGCCACCCTTGGTGCAAATGACAAGGTTCAGGTGACCCATGAAAGCATCGACTGATTTTCGCAAGTCTTCCTGTAGAATTCTCTCCCCATTCTCTGTTCAGGGATATCTTTAGAGAATCCAAAGAATGGCGTTTTGTAGCTTATTTTTTGCTTTCCAAGATGGACCATATTGAAAAATCTAAATCTGATTTTTTTCAAGCCACTCAGCATCAAGGGGCAGCTTCTGTAATGGTCTGGGCCAGGATTACCGCACTCCGCTCGTTTTCGAGCCTGAGAAGATGAAGGTCAACGCTGATGTTTACCGGAAAAGCATCCTGGAAGACTGCCTGGTTCCGTGAGCCACAAAATATTTCGATGGAGGACTCCAGCAGGACTCAGGGCCAGCTCACAAGGCACGGATGACCCAGGAGTGACTGTGGACGAATGTCCCCGACTTCATTTCGATTTCACAATGGCCCCCTTACTACCCCAATGTGAACACCCTAAATTTTCCAATTTGGTCCATCTTGGAGAGCAAAGTGTGTGCTACAAAGCACTGTTCTTTGGATTCTCTCAAGCTATCCCTGAACCAAGAATCGGAGCGAATTCCACAGGAAGTCTGGCGAAAATCAGTCAATGCTTTCATGGGTGGTCTGAACCTTGTCATCCGTGCCAAGGGCGGCTATATTAAAAACTATTAAGTGATTCTAAATCATTTAACTGTCCTTGTTATTGTGTACTTAAAAAAAGTGCCTTATTTTTTTAAATTTTTTCTGAGGTTATTGGCATATTGCAGTGGGACACAACTTTCTTAACACCCTCTATTAATGCGTTTCGCCCAATGCGTGTAAAGGACTCACCGGCATGACGTCAAAATTTCCAAGGAGTTGTTTGCGCTCTCGATTCAATCTGCTGCATGTCCCAGTCAGGGCATCGCACGCATACATAAGCGAAATGTTCTCAGCCTCTGTGAGGCCGGTTCCTCTCTTCTCGGCGGCATCAAGTGTGACCGTGTTCACTTGCAAGAAGACTTGCACCACCCTCTCGCACTCAAGCAGCTGCAAAGAGAGGTTAAATAAGCAACTCAATTTTGTATTTATTGAACTGAATGCGAGGAAAGGAAAAAAAAACCTGAAACGTATGTGATGGTGCGTTAGCATCTTAATCCCTTTCCAACTTGTGTTGTATGATATATTGCCACTGAGAATTCGTATCATCACAGATTCACGAGGAAAAACTGACGTCGGAGTAACTTTTTGGTACATTTTATTTCATCCTGGATTGAATATTTATTTTTGAGTGAATATAGAACAGATAATTCATGTATAGGGTGGTAGCAGAAAAGGTAAACATTTCAAAAACCATTGACATGTTAATTATTGCAGAAGGAAACAAACAGGAAATTGTATTTCCTGCAGAAACTCTCAAAGTTTTTGTTCTGTTCACTCAAGGCTTTCAAGTTATGCATACTTTTTCCCTACATATTTGCAAATGTGTAGAGAAAAAGTTTTCTATTACTTTCTGGAATGTTCCTTTCCTAATACAGGCAACAGTTTGGACGGTTTAGTTCTTCAGTTTAACAAATGATATATAATTTTTCTTCGGCACTTCTAAAAGCACCATCCTTAAAGTGTTCAGTAAGGAATTCTGAGTCAGTTGCTAATCTGAAAGACTTCAGCATCCAAACTGTTGCTTGTTTAAAAATAACATTAGAATAAACACAGCAGAAAGCTATGCAATGCACTTTTCGTGCATTTGCTAATATGTAGAGAAAAGTGCGCACAATTTGAAAACCTTACGTGGACAGGATAAACACTGAGTGTTTCTGCAGGAAATACAATTTTGTTTGTTCCTATCTCCTATAATTAACGTTGTGCATTTTTAAATTGTGGACCATTTAATGACCCACCCTGCATATTCGCGAGACTTTTATGCCCCTATGTCAGCGTCCATCATGCTGGAACCACATTTAAGAACTCGTTGGACTACCAAGAGGAACCCTTAAAAGTCCTTTAATAATCCGTTGATTCTCATGTTTAAATAGGACCTCTCCCAGCCGAAACGCCCCTTCATCTTGCATGAATGAAATTCCAGCATCTGGGCTATATTTTCTATATCATCTCACGTGATAATACACAATCCATGAGGAATTCGTGCCTCTTAACCCTTTCACTGGAAATCAGGAATTTGAATATCTGAGCTCGTGGAGGCGTCAATCGACAAGGCATCGGCGTCTCTTGACCCCATGGAGACACCGATGCCAGTGAACGGGTTAATATGCTGCCCCTGAAGAATTCAATCATATGCACATGATTTTCGAATGTTGTCATATTGAGCAAAATGACAAAATTAGTTTGCAAAAAGTGGACTACCAGCTACCTAATGCTAGCCTTTGTTGATAATGACACCTCTAACCATTACTTCATTGAGTCTCTTAGTACTCATGGAGCTCTTGAAGTATCTCACCAAGTGTTCTCGCTGGAACTGGAAGATTGCGTTGACGGCGTTGTGAATGATGCGTGTGTTTGACCTGTACTCCACAACTGCCATGAGCACGGTGTCGAAAATCCTCTTCCTCGCTTCTACGTCAAAACGCGTTTTTCCTTGTCTTGCTGCATGGAGTATTGCATTGCTGCGGGAAATCAAAGAAGGAGCCTTCTAGAAGAATTGTTCAGTCTCCTTCATCTTAAACTTTAATTGAAAGAGTCCGCAAGCTGTGGGGGGCTGTCACATTAACGCGCAAGGTCTACAAGGCTCTCCCATTCTAGGCTTTATGGTATGCCATCAAACCTCTGTATTTCCATTTCCAATCCAATTAGTTTAGCTACCACATCTTGTGATCTTGATTTCCATATGCAGGAGTATATTTTTCGTGATTTCTTCCACTAATCGTGAAAGTATTTTTGATTTGTGATCAATTTTCTCATATTGATTTCCAAAATTATTTGTTTTCCCTCATTCGGTGCTTTTCGAATTTGAATTTTCGGAATTTTCCATTCATGATTCACTCTTTCGTTCATTATTTATTTGTGGGGTGTGGTCTCGATGATAATAAAATTATCTGGGTGGCAACACTTTCGAACTTCTGGTTTGTCTGAAATTTGTTTATGTTTGATTTGAACCGAACTGCTTCCTATCTTTATGTGAGCATTTTCTAATTTCCGCCCATTAGACGGTCAGCGTAGCGGCCGCAGACCGCTATTAACTTTTTAATTCAACCCAAGCATTGAAGTGGATTGGTAGATCACTTCACTCACTTACACATATTAAAATAATTGTTGAATATGAGACCTAGAACCGATGCGTTTTCCGATGTAATAAGTAGGAATAGAATATATCCCCTTTTGAGTCACTGTAGAAATCACATTTGTTTTGGGAATGACGTGAAACACAAGGCACTGACACAATTGTGAAACATGTTGTAAATGCACATGAACTGAGTAAAAATAATAATGCCTACAAACAAAGTGAAAAATCATGTAGCTTCTCAGTTTAAAGTCGAGTTGTCTACTTGTGAAATTGCTTTTCATTTTTTAAATTCGTATTAGGCATGTTTCCCAGTGATTCGGAATTAATTCACATACAATACTTACAATACTGTATTTCTTTCGCTCGCGTTCATCTCTCACGTTCTGTTATTATAAAATAAAAAAGAGAAATAACTAGTCCAGGGGAGCAGCCGTTAGGTCAGTGCCTAAAGCCGCATTGAAGAAGTGCATGGAATATCTAAGCATTTTACAACTCTAAAAGTGTAATTCCTGCAAAATTCTTGTCACTGACTGCCGAAGAGTAAGACATTGAATGTCATGAATTCAGATTTGAACTTTTGGGATTAATAAGAAGTAAAATTGGACTCAAACCTCCCTACGTTCTGAATATCATATACAGATTCTGGCATAAAACTATTTTACTAGCAAACGTCGTACCGATCTTTAAGAAGGGCGAAAAGAGTAATCCAGGGAATTACAGGCCGGTAAGTCACACGAGTATCCCAGTGAAAATCATGGAAAGCACCGAATGAGGGAAAACAAATAATTTTGGAAATCAATATGAGAAAATTGATCACAAATCAAAAATACTTTCACGATTAGTGGAAGAAATCACGAAAAATATACTCCTGCATAT